ATAATAATAATAATAATAATAATAATAATAATAATAATAATAATAATTGAACTGCAGAGACTCTGGCATAAACCAGTGCAGGTGGTTCCAGTGGTACTTGGCACACTGGGTGCTGTGCATAAAAATTTTGGCAAGCACTTAAAAACAATTGGCGCTGACAAGATCACCATTGGTCAGCTGCAGAAGGCCACCTTACTGGGATCTGCTCGCATAATCCGCTGATACATCACTCAGTCGTAAATGCTTGGGAAGTGTTTGACTAGTGATTTGTGATACGAAACCCAGGATGGTTATCTCGTCTGCTGTGTATACTGTCATTTTTGTGTACAACAACAACAACAATAACAACAATAACATTAACAACAACAATAATAACAATAATAATAATTGCACCAATCTGTCCCTGTCCTATTGTTTCTTTTTGTTTTTCTTATAAGTATCTATCTCATGTATTCAAAACTATGTTTATTCTTATACCTGTATCTTGTAAGCGATTGACTTCTGCTTAAAAACTGGTGAATGAATTAGGGCTGCCGAGGACCAACTGCAAACTTCCCCTTCTGCCCCTCTCACATTCCCTGCAAAATTCCCTGCAAAAACCCCACACGGGGGAGGGAATGCTGCCCTGGGAGCCATTTACAGTTGAAGTCTGTTTGGGGAGCGGGGGAGCCAACAGCAGTTCCCCCCCCTCCCCCCCCCCCCCCCCCCCCCCCAGTCCAGCCTCCCTCCAACCTTGGGCCACCTTGGGGGGACACAGCATCACATTTCCTTCTAGGTACAATGCACGTCTTTGTGCTCAGCGTTGCTCTCCCTGCCTGCTTTGGCTCCTGAGCTCAGCGGTGGACTCACATCAATGCCGTCTGCTCCTGGCACACCGGGCGGACCTGGGGGGCCCCGTGGCCCAGGTTCTCCTGGCGGACCTTGCTAAGGAAAGAAAGGAAAGTGAGTTATTTAGTGGAGGAAAAGAAGCCCAGGGAAACAGAAGAGCTGAACCGGTGACATTTCTTCCACAATTGCAAGGCAAGAGGGAGGAAAAAAGGGACAATGGGTGGTGGAAAGGATCTTTGGATTATGGTCACTGGGACCTTTTTACTTGGAAGGGGATGGAATCTATCAGGATCAGGACTCGAAGGGCCAACTGCAAACCAGAGGGTGCACACCACCATCTGTTAGGCCAAATATATTCTGAATTCGGACCTCAGCATCACCCTAACATTGGATGAGGCACCGGAGGCCTGAAGCTCTTCGGAGCCTGGTCCTCAATCAATCCAAACTGAAGCATCCTGCGAATTGGGTGGGAAAACAGCACCTTTGGGAGAACTATCCATGTTGGAGAATCGTGTTGCAGCAGTTTGAAAACAGGAGAGGCTCTTCACCAACTCACAAGACCCTCCGTGGCTGAGAACAGGCTTAACATTGAAAATCAGCGGGAGGCGCCAGGAAGGGACAATGACGACTGTGGGGGCCCAGCCAGTCTTTTGGGACACTCCCCAGGCCCACCCACTGGAAAAGCCCGACCAGCATTCAGTCCAAATCCAAAAAACGTTGCAGTGCAATTTTATCCAATTGACTGAAAAGTTAAAACTCATTTTGATTTTGAAACACTCAATCTTTCCAACAGCAAAAGAGAAAAGAGAAGATGACGGTAATATTTCAATTGTTACTTTGAGTTGCAACTCCCCTTTAGCCCCAGAGGTTGGAATTATAATATCTCACTCAGAGGAGGAAAAATTCATATATATTTTTTTCTTTATTGGGCCCTGATGTACTGCCCTTGGGACTAACATTACCTTAGCAATAGTTCATTTCTTGAAAGACCCATTGAGAAATGAGCATATATTTTCTCTGAATTATAGTTGCAAAAACAAGTGGCTTCCCCCAGTAGCATGCAGCTTGACTTTTTTGCTTGAGTTACCTATTTCTCATGCAGATCTGTCATTTTGTATTATTATAACAAGGTCCAAAGAGAACACGAAGAACATAATAAATGAATGCAGCATAGAAGAGCAAACCAGGAATTTAAGCATGTCACAGAAGTTATAGCTTTCTAAAATAGGATTAGTACTTATGAATAATTATATATATTATACTCCATTAAAGAATTAAAGTGAACATGGAGCCTATCCTTTTTTAAGCTGTAAAGCAGCTTGTAAAATAGATAGTCTTTAAAGTATGGAACTAGTTAGCTTTTAAGTCTTTGCAAATCGATTAGATATTTCTTCTTTACATTTAGATAGTTATTTCTTAATTTTGCAGTTCTGAGTGTTGAATCCCAATACATCGTGTGAAGAATGACACCCAATTGAGAAAATGCTGCTCCAGATACTGCAACGTAAAAGAGGACCAGATTTCTGTTAGCAGGACTTTTATAAAGATATAAAGAAATGTTGAGTCCTTTAATATAACTGTTAAATTTTAACCCTTTGTTGTGGGCACCCAACTGGCCTCTTTATGGATCAACTCAGGTAAATTTCCACTTAACGTTTTCTAGTTCAAAGGCAAGAACAGCTTCGTGTTTCTTTTTTAAAAAGACTCATTAGGGGTGGGAGAGTGTAGAGAGATAACACCAGTGAAGGCATGCAGGAAATTTATAAAAAAACTAAATGAAAATTCAGTCTTGGGAAAGGAGAAGACATGAGAAAAAAAAACTCAAAATAACTCCACTTTGATTCTGTTCAGTATAAGAGCAGGTAGACGGATACTATAATAGGCTTTCAAGGTTTTGCAGTTGGGTCCCATAACAGAAAAGTAGCATTCCTGAAATCTTTCCTCTGTCTGCTTCCTGCTACTCTGAAGAGCAGACAGAAATCAATAGTGCCACATAAATAGCACTGGAAAGGTGAAAAAAGATTCAAAGCATTCTTATTGCATTCTGAACATATCACATTTACTCTTGTTAGATTCAGTGGGATCTACTTCCACAGAGATTAAGAAAGAGATTTTAAGGTTGTGGTGGATTCTTCTCTGTTCAACACTTGAAATCTTACAATCTCTGGCAAAGGACCTCCAGCCTCTCCTGAAATATCTCTAATAGGTAGACTTCCACCCTTAGTCTGCTCCATCGTTGAACAGATTTAACTCTTGTAGAGTGTCTGTAGATATGTGGACAAAATCTATTTCCACACAAATAACAACAACAACAAACCAATTCTAACTAAAAGCCTGTTTGGAAGGTTTATGTCTTTCGCCTTTAACTTGTTTGCAGAATAAGGGAAGGGAGAGTCTCAGTGTGTGTGTGTGTGTTTGGACATTTCAAAACAAGGTACTCTTGTCTCTCCTTGACTCCCAATTTGAAAAGATACTTTGTGTATGTGATCTACAGATGTGCTACTAAGTCAGAAACGAGCGGCAAACAGGGAACTACTGTGGACTTCTATATGGCTGCACTGCCAATGCCCTCAATTGAATTTAAGTTAAATTAAATCTGAAAAATCGAAGAATTTAAAGCAATTGACTTCCAGCCTTCCAAGATAAGCATAATTATATATGGATGGGGGCGGGCAGCAAAATTGCTTAAACAAAGTTCAAGATGTCATAAAATATAAGAATACGGTTCTTTCCCAAATTTCACTTCAGCTAGAATGGTTCACTCTTAGGTTAACCTCTTAATTAATGCCATGCATAGCAGAACATTTGTTTCCAAGGGACACAATGTGGCAAGGGACATAATCAAAGGGACACCTAATTCCTAGTTGCATCAAAAAGTTGAGGCCACAGTCTTCATGTTTCCACTTTTGCTTAATTTTGATTGGGAACTGACCAGGATTGATTGTAAGATGGGCAGCTACATAAATGTTTCAAATGGATAAATATATTTAAGGGTGATATTTTGCATCTGAAATGTTTGCAAGTTCAAAGAAGAAAAAATGTGTGTGAGCACTATTGATCTTAAAATACCACCTTTGCAGTAAAGGTTTCCAGCAGGTATTTGATGAGTGAATGGTGCTCTTTGTCCTTCTCAGGCTACCAAACAGCACTTTATTCTTTTTAGAAAGCAGCCCACAACTCTAGAAGGGACTGAAGGCATCATATATATGGACACAGATATCCTGAAACCAACTTTCTCCTTCTTAAAAGCAATAACTTTTATAACCCTTGCTGCTCATGGAGAAGGTTGCTTTTGAACTCAAATGAAATGCAATCTTAGTTTGACTCTGTTCAACCTCTTGGCTGCTATCGAGACAACAGCCAACCTGCTTCTAAACTACAGTTAGAACCCAGTTATTTCACTGGACAGAGCCTTCCTGTTCCTGGTGAATAACAGAAGATTATGCACAGGAAATTTTGGAAGGACACCTGTCTTTCCTACCTAGATTCTGCTCAGGATTATGCAAGATATTTTAGAACTCAAACAATGCTTCATTTGGGGTGGGGCTTCTTATCCATAAACAAGAAATAGTTTATCACCAAATTGAGTGAAAGTCTCACCATAGCAGTGTGATTTTGCACACCCGCTTAGGAGCAAACTTGGTAGAGTTCAACGTATTTATTCCCAACCAAGCTTTCCTAAAGACTGCAGCCTAAAGAAACCAACCTAAACACGTATAAAGAGGAAACCTAGAGAAACCAACCCCATTGTCAGAATAAACTAACTACCAGATCTAGATCTACAGCAGGAATACAAAGTAAAACAGAACAATTTTCTTCTCTGACCCTGAAATACACACCAACACAAACCAAAAACAACCAATCAAAGTCCCAAAATCCCAAGGGCTTTCCAATTACACAATACTGGTTCTAAGCAGGCAGGCAGAAAAGGAAGTTGACATGTATACATTTGCAGTGACCCATTCTTTTGCCAACATTGGATCCTCAACGGTGACTCTTGTTTCCCAAACATGCTCTTCATCAGCAACACCTTTTGTATCTCTCCAATACATTTCCAGAAATAATATGGGGAAAAAAAGGAACTTACCAACTGGCTTAAGGAGAAGACAAAGCTTTGGAGAAGGAAGCAGAGATTCAGCAATCTAGCCATATCAAGACGCTTCAAGCCTGGACACTGCCAGCCTTTGAATGAAAAGAGCTAAGAGGAGCTGAGAAAGTCAAGAAGAGAGGTGGGAACATTAATATTTAGCATTTGGCAAAAAGGGGAGGAAAAGGTTGGAGCCGAAACGCCCTTCCTTACTACTGACTGAGGCTATTTTATCACCCAGCTCTTCTCATAGACTGCAGGCAGGAGTTGAAGCAGGCAAATATTTAGAAATAAAGAAGGGAGGGAGAACTAGGTGGAAAAGTGTGAAGCAGCCAGCTAGCAAATTCCAGAGTTATGGCAAATTGGTCACCATGATTGGCACTGGAGATATTTGAAGTTGGAAAATTAGGCTATTTTTTAAAAAAGTTAATAATTCCTGTACTATTTAACATGACTTCTATATTCTTGCTTTCTCTGCCTTCAAGTCAGTATTTACTTCTGGCAACTGCCTGGCCTCGACCTGCACTTTTCTTGGCAAGATTTTTTAAAAAAGTGGTTTCCCCTTGCCTGCTTCCCCAGGACTGGGAGAATACCCAAGGTCATCCAGCTGGTTTTCTGTATAAGGCAAAGACTAGAACTCGGGGTCTCCACTAGACCAAACTTGATCTTTAAAGTAACATTATAACTATCCCAGCATCCCTATTAGGGACGTTGTTAGCAAGTGAAATGGAGGCTGAGAAAGAGCAGGTTTTCTAAAACCAAACAGATATTTTAAGGTTGGAAAATCTAGTTAAATAGTGTAAATTAGTTCTTTAAGATAAGGACACATGTGTGATATGCATTACATCATTTTATCAACCGTCATCATGTATGCAGTGTTTGCATTGTGCAAACTTACATCATTTGGTTAACCACACAATATTGGATTGCACACACATATGTTCCCTTTGAGATCAAAACATTTTTTTCCAGATGTGATGGATCTGTCTCTTTCTGCAAGAGGAGACAGCTGGCAGAATGCAAATTGTGAGTCGCATAAGACATTGACACTAAAACAGCTTGGATTCACACAAGATACTAGAAGACACAAAACATAAACCAATTGAAAAGTGAAATGAGTGCAATAGTGCATTGTGTGAAGGCAACTACTTAGGTTTATAACTGAGCAAGCTAAGTGCATTAAGCAAGCACAGCAAATGCTTTACACATTAGCTTTATGTGTACACCCAGTGTTATTTGTTAAACAAAATTTATGACTAGCCATTATTTCTTTATTTGGCTATTATGGTTTATTCAACAAACCACAAACTGACTCACATGATCTGTAAGTCATCTCTATAAGTTTTTTTCATTTGACTGAAAAAATTATCTGAAACACCACATAATATTAGACATCTAATTATTAATCTCTCGTCACCTTCTTGACAAATAAGCTAATAGTGGCAGCAAATTTTAAACTGCATCATCTTGAACTCCCAATGAGATTAATAAGCATTATCTTGACAAACTTCAGAGCAAAACGCATTGCACAGGGGGAGTTATGCACAACACCTATTTCAAATCTGAATATCCCATAAGCCAACTTAAGAAGACATTAAATGCTTAGCCCCACAATGCATAGTTAGTGCCACGCAAAACTTGAGATTTGTGGGTTTACAGGTAGTCCTCCTTTAGCAACAATTGGCAGGGGTGGGATTCTACCAGTTTGCACCTATTCGCTAGAACCGGTTGTTAACATTCTAAGCAGTTCGGAGAATCAGTTGTTAGAAGAAATTACTGGCCTAATCCTGTAAGGAAGGCAAGAAGGAAACATTCTGGTGTTGCTTACAGAAACTGCCTTTCCATTAACCCTTATTACATTCTTGAGAGGACTAGACTTCCTGACTCAGGAATTTCTCTAGAGTTTTTTCCCCTCCTTTGCTGGTACTTTGCTTGTGTGGAGTAACCATTCAAAGTTACAATGGCACTGAAAAAAGTGACTTATGACCATTTTTCACACTTACGACTGTTGCAGTATCCCCACAGTCATGAGACGCTGGGGAGGAGATGCGTGCCTCGATGTGATATTGAGTTGGCCACGTCCAGCCAATAACATGACCACCAAGCCGCACCCACCAATTAAGCCACACCCATAGAACTAGTTGTTAAAAAATTTGAATCCCACCCCTGACAATTGGGATGGGCAACTCGGTTGTTAAGCAAAGTGGTCACTAACTGAAACTGAGATTATGATCTTATTTCAACTTTCCTTTGCTTTACAACCCTGCAAAGATCCTAAATCTGAGGATTTGGAAATGGGAGCTATTTCTTTTCATCACTGTTATAACAAAGTCACTAAACAAGGCAGTTACTAAATGAGGACTGCCTATGTCAGTGATGGCTAACCTTTTTGTCGTCGCATGCCGAAAGTGTGTGCATGTGCACACACATGCATGCATCCATAGTGCAATGTACATGTGACGCCCCCCAGCCCCCTGCGCACGCACACGTGAACCCCCCTGCACCACATGTCTCGGCACATGCATGCGCAAACCCGTGTGTGCCCCACCCCCTGCCAATGTACACACATCTCCCGCACATGTGTCTCCCCCTGCGCATGCGTGGAAGATACCGGACAATCACCTGGCTGGCAAGGAGCGTGCACGCATGCGCAGTGGATCAGTTATGGGCAATGGCTTGCGTGCTGGGAGAAATGGCTCTGTGTCCCACTTCTGGCATGTGTGCCATAGGTTCGCTATTATTAGGAATCTGTCCACCAATTAGTTGGGTTGGCAATATATAAACCAGCAATGTATGTTTGTAGCTTTAAGACAGGATCACTGTATTGATTTGTACTATGTTCCGATTGGTTGATTGTATTGCGAATTGTCCTAAGAGGGAGCTAGATAGCGATCATGGCTTGCTCTCTCTGATATTCTGTATCTCTGACATTCCGTGGCTATTTCAGTTTGACTCTGAGACTCTGTTGTATTTATGCTATGCTTATCCTTTGACATTTTTATTTACTGGAAATGACAAAGGCCACCGGTAAGAAGACTTTCTAATTGGATATTCTTTGGACTGTAAAATGTATATGACCTGGACTGTTTATTGGGCTGTGCTATTTCTTAAAGTAAACTTTAAGTCAATTTAGGGTTTCTGTGTGTGGCTGGATAATTATTCATAATTATCGTATTCATAACTATTCTCATAAAGGTTTCAATGTGCATATCCTTGTTACTCAATGGTTATTCTGTACATATCATAGCAGCTATCACAGACCTATACAGTCTTAATCCTCTATCTCGGTCAGATTGCAAAGGCTGCCAACTCTCTTTTGTGCCGCTAGGTGTCAGCAGCAGGAATCTTTACTCCCTAAACACAGAAACATCTGCTCTGCAGTCAAGAACAGCCGGCGAGCAAGAGGATGCAGACGTCATCTGAGTGTACAGTACAAGGAGTCCTTGACTTACGATCACAATTGAGCGTCAAATTTCCACTGCTAAGCAAGACAGTTATGTGAGTTTTGCCCCATTTTATGACAACCATGACCTGGAGGACTGAGAATCTCCACAGACTTTGGGGTAAAATTGATTAGGATCATGCCAGTTTCAAACAGCAAGGCAAGCCTTCAAAAGTGCTAATGAACTAATGGGGCAAAGCAGTTTAGGAAAGAGGTAGCTTGTCCAAGCAATCTCTCCCCTCTGCAAGGGAGGAGAGAGAAGAAAACGCACACACAAACATTGCATGTTAGGCAATGAGGCACAGCACAGCAAATCGTGTAGTAATTTTGTTTGACTCCCAGGAGGGCACTGAGGATATTGGCATCCTTTTGCTGAAAAGAGCAATTTGTAGCCACAAAACAAAAGTGCTAGTGTTTGCACAACACAACAATAGCTTACATAAATGGCAATTTAATGGGACCCCAATAGAGCAGGTACGCATTTATAAATATCTTGAGGTGCAGATGCAGGTTTATCTTGGAGCATAGGTTTCTCTTATCAGGTAAGTGTGACCCAGTGTAGCTCCCGGGCCATTTTAAGATTCTTCTGTTTAAAAAGGGTGCATTTTATTCTTGGGGATTGCGAGGTTTTTCTTGCTCTGTTTGTTTATGGTGTTGCGATCTGTTGGCTGGGGGATTGTGGGAATTATCAGGCCATCCATCTTAGAATGTAAAATAATAAAGAGTTGGAAGGGACCTTGTAGGTCTGCTAGTCCAACCCCCTGGCGTGTTGAGTCCAGCCTTCTTAAAAGCCTCCAGTAACGGAATGCACACAACTTTTCTGAAGGCAAGTTGTTCCATTGGCTCTCCCCATTAGGGAATTTCTCCTTAGTTCTAGGCTGCTTCTGTCCTTGGTTAGTTTCCATCCATTGTTTCTCGCCTGGCTTTTCGGTACTTTGGAAAAGCAGTTTGACCCACTCCTTGGTCTTCGTTAGAAGCCCTTCAAATATTGGAACAATCCTATCGCGTCTCCCGATCCTAAAAGCTACCACGTTTGAGAAGCTCTGCTCCAAAGAGCTGCAGGCTCCCCCATCAGCGGCCAATATATTCCCAAGAAAAGAGATTGTCATTTGCTTCCTGGCTTGCAATCCACCCTGCGAGGCACCGTCCAGCGGACGCGATGCCAGGGGCTCAGGAATCGGATCCAGCCATTTCTCAAGCATTACTTATCCGGGGGAAAGCCGTTTTCCCTTCCCCGCCTCCTCCTCCTCCTCCCCCTCCCCGCGCCCGAAGCCCGGGCTTCTCCTTATTACGCTGCTCCCCCCCCCCCCCCGCCGCCGCTCTTCTCGCTTCGCGCCTTCTTTCATTCATTCATCCTTTCCTCCATTCACGCCAGGTTCCCTCGGGACCTCTTTCGCTCCGCCCCTCGCTCTCTCCTCCTGGTCTTCGGATTGGCTCTTCGCTCTCCCTGACTGGCGGGCGCGCGCGCGCGCTCTCGCCTAAAGGAAGGAGGGCGGGCCTCCAACGGGCAGACATGCCCTCCCCGCTGCCGCCCCCGCGTTCCGCAGCCGAGGGGGTGGGGGGGGCAAAGATGGCGCGTGCGGCTGCCGGTGGGCGGTGCCAAGGCGGCGAGAAGGGGAGGAGCCTCCCGTCAGCCGCTGCCTTGGAGACGCGGGCGGCTAGGCGGGCGGGCGGGCGCGCACGCTCCTCCCTCCTCTTTCCCCTCCCTCCTTTCTTCCTCTCCTTCCTCTCCTTCCTTTCCTCCCCCCCCCGCACACAGGAGTGGGGAAGGGAGGGGGGGCTTTCCCTTTCTGAGGCCCCTTCCTCTTTCATTTAGATCCCCTCCCCCCAAGGCTGAAACAAACGGGGCTGGGGAGGGGGTCGTCTCAAGGGCTGTAGGAGGTTGGGAGCGGCCAGTTTGAGGGGAGCGGGGGAGGGGGTGTCGGTGCCTGGGGTGGGGGGGGGTCAGTATTTGGGGAAAGGTGGGGTATATAGAGGCGAAGGCGGCCTGGGTGAGGGATCTCTTTTGTCCTGCTGGGGTGAGGTCTCTCCCAGAGGCCGGGGTCCCAGGCTGAGACTTGGGGGACCCTCAGAAGAGGGCTTCTCTGAGGGGGAGGGGGCTCACGGCCCGGTTGGAAAGTCCCCAGTGATTTAGGGGTTCCTCAGGCCTGGGTGGTGGAGGGAGCAACGGGGCCGCTGCCTGGGTCTGCCTGGGTGGGGGTCTGGTCCTTCTGGAAAAGAAGCCCCAAGGGGTGGGAGGTCCTGAGCCAGCAGACACCCCCCCCCACCCTCCTCCACACATAGCGGGCATCCCCGTCCTCCAGCTCCAAGGCTGCTCTTGGCCTCTTGGAGTTGCCCTCAGGGTGCCTGGATTAAGCCGGTGCCATCTGGGAATCCAGGAAGAGGCCGCCAGGGGCTTTGCAGGTGTAACCTTCGCCAGCCTGCCTTGTGCCAACCAGCGTGTGTCCGGCATTGACATCAAGGCAATGGAGAAACGCTCTGGTTGCTTTCCAGGCTGTGGGGCAACCTTGAAGAAGGAAGAGGAGGAGGAGGAGGAGGAGCAGGGTATCTGCTGAGAACCGAAAGAGGAAGTCCTGCCTGGAGGTTATCTTCTCAACTCAGCCGCCGCTGGTTATGTAGAAGGGAAGCCCTGGGTGGCTGTGCTTGGCTCTCTCTTCCCTCTGAGTTGCATGGCCGGAGAGGCTCACTTGAAGCACTGAGGAAGGAAAGGGTCTTCCTCCCTTTAAATCTCCCCTCCCCCGCTTTATTTCTTTGCACTTCTACTGAGGCAGCTTTGATCTGCAATGACAGGGAAATCCGTGAGGGATGTGGACAGGTACCAGGCTGTCCTTACCAACCTGCTGCTGGAAGAAGAGAACAAATACTGTGCAGACTGTCAGGCGAAAGGTAACCTGTGTAGCTTGTAAATGGTGTGAGAGCGGCACACGTTTATGTGTGCCTGTGTGTGTGTGTGTGTGTGTGTGTGTGTCTGTCTGTCTGTCTGTCTGTCTGTCTTTCTGTCTGTCTTTGGGGCCAAAATGGTCCTTGAATTTGATCTTTCCCATAGAAAGAGTAGAAGATAGATGTGTGTACTGAGGGTGTATACTGCCTGGCATATTTTTGTGTTGAAAGGTGAGCGTTTGCCAGTAGCAAGAAATAACGCAAACTCCCACACAGGTAAGCTTTTGCTTTGTGAAAGCAGCATCATAGTGTTGGTTCTAGCCGCAAGCATTGTGCATTTCAGGTTGTCTTCCCTGAACCCAGTAGAGGGCTTTTCCAACCCTCTACCGCAATAGTATGCAGTGCAGGTTCCTTTCTCGGAAATATTTGCTGTGGCTGGGCAGGTTGGGGTTGAGAATTAGAGTGAGCGTAGAAATAGAAAGGTTGCTAGCTTTCATGAGAAGGGAAGGAACCTGTTTGTAATTTAGAGGATGCTTGCTTGCAGTTCATTACATAATGCCATCAAAACTTGGCAGCAGTCATGGTTACAGGTATTCTACCCAGAGAAAGCAAATTGGCACTGAATACTTGGCTTTACCTTTGGTTCACATGTAGAGAAGCATCAGAAAAGAAATGGGTAGATTGAATTTAGCAAATATAGGATTTAATCAAAAAGAAATATCAGCTGTGGGTTTCAAACTTTTTTTTTGCCTATAGCTGTCTGCTCAGGCAGGTCTTTTGCTTTAAAAAAAAATCCCAGCTTATCCATAAACGCTATCCTATCCATAAATGGTTGTTGACATGGTTGTAGACAAGTTGGAAAACTTTACACCTAGAAAGGGTTGATTTTATTGTTTTCAAACTAATTGTGATATTCAAGATGTATATGAAAAGAGTCTCAGGAAGGCTGATTAAAGATACTGACCCTAAACAGCTTTTTAGAAGATACATCAGAAGAGTTTAGTCATGATGTAAATGTTCTATCCTGGGGTCAAAAATGAAACGTTTGGAGAATAGAATGTTGTTGTTTCTTAATTGGTTTGTTTATTTTGCTTCTTGCATACATTGGCTTATTTGCTTGAGTTGGCTGGTGACGGCTTGCTTTTGAATTTACTGTTTGGAGGCACACCTGCTCCTTGCTAGAGACGCTGTCTGCATACTCATGGTCAGGTTTGTAACCCAGAAGGCCCAATACAAGGACCTTTGCCACCCTCTAAGAAGAAATACATAGATGTAGATGTACAGTAGTTTAAAGTCCTGTAAAATTAAATGTATATTGGAGCAAACTTACTTGGAAGTCAAACAACATGTTAAAAGAGTTATGTAAACTCTATGAATACAGTTTACAATGCAATACCTGCTTTTGAACAGAGGAAACAATTGGTTTAAGTCTTACCATGAGTCAATTTTTAACTAAATTTCCACAATATATACCTTTGGCTCCACATATAATGCTGTTTTCATCTTTTGTCCTAAAAAGGAACTGAAGAAAATAAACTTCCTACTCACTTCAGGGCCAGTTGCTTGTTATTATCTGCTGGGTTACAAATGATCAGAAGGAATCTGGTAGCTCCTATTTCAACCAGCAAATGTTATTAAGCGGTATAAGCTTTTTTTTTTAGCTGAAGTTCACCTCATGAGATGCATAAATGGATTGTATGTACAGGTTGTGATTATGTAGACTCACTTGTTTGAGATGGGCATCCATAGAAATTCAGTAAGTGTGTTTGTGTTTGTGTATTATAGAATATCTCATAGATACTGTAGCCATTTGATAAGGTGAGCTGTGGCTTACAAAAGGTTTAGCTTTTTAATAATTGAATAAAATGTATTAGAAAAGATGCTGTCCCAGACTTCCTTTGGTTTTTTTTACTATTAAAGACTTTCCTCCTACAATAGGTTGCAAATGGGGGAACAAAGATCTTTAGCAATTGAATTGCAGGATTTTGTAAAACGGATACTAGATTTTAGTTTCTGGAAGGGATAAGTTTATATTGCCTCATTAAAGGAAGATTTTTTAAAAAAAATCCAGATTTCTTTATGGATAAGTCAGCACTACAGTACTAGAGAGACTGTAAATGCCAGCATTGCGGAATGCTTTGTTTGGCCTTTTGTTGGCTCATTTGCCATTCCTTTTTCCTTTTCCTGTTCTTTTATCAAAGGGTCCCATTTCTGAAAAAAAGTTTCTTGACTTTATTTGCACGTTTTCCTGTATTTGTGGTGCTGACTATTCTAGCCTTCTAGCAGAGTTGGGAGAGTTCTGGTCAGGCGGGAAACAATATAGCATTCGGGACAAATGGCTGTCCCATCTCTTTTTAAAAACCTCCAATGATGAATCCTTCCAACTTCCTGAGGCAAGCCATTCCACAGATCAATTGTTCTAACTGCCAGGAAATTTCTCCTTAATTCTAAGTTGGATCGCTCTTTGATAAACTTAATCCCTTATTTCTACATCCCTTATTTCCCTCAGGAGCTTTGAAGAATAGGTCAACCCCCCTTTGTCTGTGACAGCCCCTCAAATATTGGGAAAATGCTATCATGTCAACCTTGGTCCTTCTCTTCTTTAGACTAGATTTCTGTGAGGGTTCCCTAAGAAGCCAAACTTTGATTTGCTTTGGCTAGAAATGCTTTTTAAATATTTCCTGAAGTTTACTTTAAAACCATAGTGGGCCTGCAATTGCACTTTTAATTAATGTAAAACTCTTAGGTTATTAAAATGAGAAATAAAAAAGATCATAATTTTAAATCCAAACTATTCAGAGTGTACAAATTAGACTTTTTATTGCAGCAGATATTTAAGAGCACAATCAAGGAATACTGGAAAACAAGCACAAAAATTAAAAAAGGTTTACCAGCAGGAGAAGAGTGAATAAAAATAAAGATATGGCAAATCAGTCCACTATGCAGGCATTTATCCAAATTCAAGCTGAAGGCAGGATCAATGCTTTTAAATAGTTTAATGGAGAGTGATGAATTTGGAGAATAAAAATTCAAAGTATTATTAAAATAGTGCTAGATATTAAAATATCTATATTTAAAACTATAGAACAATATTAAAATTGAGTAAATACACAATAAATAACCATCATAGTGTGCATGGTATGAATCATAGATCAAAATTTAGCTAAAAATTCTACCCTTATTTAGAAAAATGTAGGCATTAAAGTCTCATGTTAAGAGAAACCCAAACCCTGAGGTGGTATGCGCCCATAGGCAGAATTATTATTCATGAATAATGTCCAAATTAAATTAAATTCTATTCTTTTGTTTACATTGTGTCTATTCCTAGAACTTAATTTGCCATTTTGCTGCAGAGGGCAGTATATGTGAGCATACAGCATCTGGGTCAATATTATCACATAAAAAGCCAGCTTAGCATCCTTCATGGGAATATAAGGTTTGGCAATATTTAATAGAGAAATAGCTGGTTGGAAAGAAAATTCAACGTAAAGAAAATTATGATAAATCATCTTCCAGAATTTTTGAGCTCTGCAGCATGGCCACCAAATATGAAACTATGTATTTTCAACTCTTTTTCTTTTTTTAAAGAAAATGAGTTTTCTTTTTTTTAAAAAAGAAGTTCCTGAAAGGAAGACCAGAAATAACAGATGGAAGCTGATCAGAGAGATCCAACCTAGAACTCAGGAGAAATTTCCTGACCCTGAGAACAATTAATCAGTGGACCAGCTTCCCTCCAGAAGTTGTGAATGCTCCTGCTTGGGCACGGGGTTTGGCTAGAAGACCTCCAAGGTCCCTTCCAACTTGGTTATTATGTATTTTAAGTTACGGTATTTGTTTTAGCAAATAGTAGTGGAATAATGTGCCATTTTTCCTGAGGGATAATATCTGCAGTACATTTAAGCACTAGTGCCATTCCTATTATGGCACGTGAATTGTCCTGTTTAAATTCTGCATTCATTACAGTTTAGAATAAGCTCCAACAAATATTTTGAGTTTTGTGTTGTGAGCTTTGTTTTTGTAATTCCTTTAGAACAGGGCAGTTTCTCTGGATATGTTTTATTCATTTATTTAAATAATTTATATGGCACTCCATCTCAGAGGTGGCTAGGCATCTTAAAGCACATTAAATTAAATTGGAAATAATAAAAAAGAACAACATTAGCTAAATATAACCTCCAGCAGTGGTGGCTAACCCTTTTGGGTTCCTGTGCCCAAAATTGGGAGCGTGCACCAGCACCCAGAATGCAATGTGCGCCCTCCCTCCCCACACCCCCTTGCGCATGCCCACCCCCACTCCCTTACCTGCAGTGTGCCTCACAGCTGATTTTTCGGCTGGTTTGAGGTCTTTTTCATCCTCCCAGTGAGGTAAGTTTGCCTGCGGCTTGCGTGCCAGCACAAATGGTTTGGGTGAGAGAGGGAAGGAGAGAGAGAGTTGTGAGCATGCCAGGTGGATTTGTTGTTTCTAGTTGCACAATTATATTAAAACCGAACAGCTTAGCCAATACTTCTGGTAGGCAGAGTTTGTCACCTCAAGTACTCTTTAAACAGTTATATTGATTGGGATAGCCTTATAGTCCATTTCACAAGGTTTAAAAACATCTGGATTAAAGAGTTAATCATTAAACTTCAATTGGAAAAAATTATAATGTGGATATAAAATATGACCTGTTTCCTCCATTCCACATCAATTAGTTCACAGTGGAAACTGCAGAAATCCAAACTGTTTATCATGCCCCATGTTGGAGTCTGACTCTGAGGGAGAAATAGAACAGCTGACGGAGTGAGAGTGTGGTTGTGGAGGAAACTGGGGAAGGGCACAAGCCAGCTGGGCATTCATGGGAAGATCCAGGCCCTCCCCTCTTCATCCTAGTGCATGCAGGGAAGAGCGGATATGGGAGAAAAGTGAGTGGCATGGTCTACGTGGGAGGAAGGGGCCCTGATCCCCTTCATGGGCTGCAGCAGGGAGGACTGGTTAAAAGGACAAACTGCATGGCAAAGGTTCTGGA